AGAGGTGGTGCTGATATCATTACCTGGAGATATAACAGTAGCAGAGCTGGTGCTGGTATAATTACCTGGAGACATAACAGTAGTAGAGGGGGTGCTCGTATAATTACCCGGAGACATAACAGTAGTAGGGGTGGTGCTGATATAATTACCTGGAGATATAACAGTAGTGGCGGTGATGCTGCTAGATATTTCGGCCAATGGTCGTGGCATAGCTGTTTGCAAATGAAGGAAAAATAAAATATAGAGGATGTTTTGACCGTGGATCGGTCATGGCATTGATAATTGTGTCTGATAACGGTTTAGCGTCTATAACGCCGTGACTTCATTAAATTCCGAGTGGTTAATACTGAAGGGTTGCGAATGTTAAAATAAGACATCTTGAAAGTTTATGAAATATCACATGCTTATCAGATATCGTATATGGTTGTCTTATACGATACATTATATTAATATACATTATAGTATATATATGATATATATCTTATGTAATAGACAAGATGATATATCTTATAAAATAAATAATGCATCTTATAATAATAAACATAAGTGATCAAATAAAATACATAAGAAGTCTTATTTAATCTTTACAGATATCATTAAAGATATCTTATTAGGATAAAAATAAACTTTAAATAAAATAATTAAAATTAAAATAAAAGATAGAAATATTAAATAAACCAGCACCAACCTGAAATAAAACAAACAATACGTATATACTTTAACCGTGTTTTCCAACAATTTCTGTCCGGGGTGGGGGGTATGTATTTGCTATGAATGCAAACTCAAAGCATTTAATGTTTGAATATTTATGTCAACCATATCGCTCGATGAACACTCACCTACAATCATATTACATAAGATGAGAAAAATGACTCCGCTCTTCAGTAGCATCTTGCATATGTAGACTTGGAGCTGAAGGCTTCGTGTGGTACCTCCTGTCCGAAGTTCAATACTAAACCACAGTCACACTTTCCAGAACTATACCATCCCAAATTGTCTTTGTTGACTTTTCTCAAAATGTTATCTTTAATCATGATTTACCTCCATCGTGTCCGTCTTTCTCTCCACTTCCACTCCCTCTTTCACCAACAAGTATTTACCTTAGGCCTACCCTCACTCTTACTACGTCACATCAGACGGGTTTAAACTCTCCATGTTTAGGATCCCCCCAAGTTGCTTTCAGATCAAACGGACAAGTTGTCACCTGGTGAATATACAGCGGGGTATATACCACAGGTACCGGGTTCTCTTGATTTATACGTCTATTAGCTACTTCAACATCAAACAAGGGTGCGATAACATGCGAGGCAATCCTTAAGCACTGTCAAAACAAGCTCTACACTTTCACGGCAGCAGGGGAAAAGGTTCACTAGTTCTCAAATTTTGCTCATAAGTTATGTTTAAAAGTAAAAACTGTTAACATCGCTCGATTTAAATAGAGAAGAAATCTGATTACAAAGCAGAATTATATGTGTGAATTAGGAATTCTCGGTAGCCGACCCAAATGTAATCAAAACAATCATTCTGCGAGATACAAGCATCATCATTCGTTATACAGTTGGACCATATGGTGGCCAGATTGAAGCAGTGTTGGTGCTTAGTCCGGCAGCAGCAGACATCTGGGCCCGTATTTATGAAATCGTTCTCATGCTCAAGCATGGATTCTGTCCTCAATGCAATTACTGTGCAACCATTTCACATAATTTTCGGTTTGAAGTCAATTTTTTTCCAAATCGTTACCAAAATATGTTTTTTTTCTTAATTTCTCACCGAAACAAGATAATGGGCTTTAGCACAGAACCCGAGTTGAGGAGAACGGTTTCATGAATACGGGCCCATGCGTGACGTTTCGGGAGTTCATTATCTGACCAATATGGAAAATGATTCTGTAGTACTTTGTTTGTGAATAATAGATAACAATTTTCTTGGCAAGTCTGATCAGCGCATATAGATTTCATATTTACAGTAAACATAGCAACGTATGGTCGGTTCAATAAATGTAACAGCCTGCCTAAGCCTTGATTAAATCCGTCTTCATTTACTGTTGATGACGTCGCACAATTGTAACTCGTTCACATGTGGTTTTTTTTTTAACTTTTTCTTTTCATTTCCGATTATAATTCGGCAAATAGTAGTACAAGAAACATATTGCAATGTTCAAGATGGCGGAGGACACTTCCTTTTATTTGGCAGTAGCATACCGTAAACATTTACCCAGTCCACTTAATGTTTTAACACTTTTACATGATAACAGTTCGATTAATTCATACACACTCGGATGTCGGTAGTAATATCGCTTTAGCAGGATAAATAAGAATACATATATGTCATCTTCAATATCATTTTTGTCAAAAGCTCAACATACTCTTTGACCTCTCGGAACCCCATTATAACGTCCAGATCCGATGTTAAGGGAATGCGCCTGCGTACGATATTGACTCAACATTGTTTTGGTAATAGAAGTTAAAGGCTTTACTAGATAAAAGAGATTATGAAAAGTATCGAGAAGGTGTGTATACAAGTAACATTTAGACGACGATTCCAACGCGCCACGCAATTCTTGAATAAATACATATTGATGACGCGGAGTATAAATTTCCACAAACTGTTTTTCATTTTTGACATATTGAACATCCCAGATATGTTTAACGTGATAAACCAAGTTCACCTTACAATTTTGCTTTTTGACACTAAGCTCTAGTAATGCATCATAACATGATTTTAGTACACGATAACTTGTGTTAGAACAATAACTTGTATTACAATATTTACTAATAGCTATATTGCGCTGTATATGTAAAGAATACCTCCCGTTTCAAAGAATACCATAGAACTATTGACTGTTTTCTTGACATTCAATAAATCTTTAAGTAAAAGGAGATTAACCTTTTTTTCCCCAATTTGAGGTGATAACCACTTACCCCACAGTTCACTCACATGCTTCAGCATGCATGTTTCATAATCTCATTTTATTCATATAGATGTTTTCTATATAATTTCTTTATAAAACTATTCCAAAAATTCATAATTTCAATAATATGAATATTTCTGGTAAAAATAATTCACATTATTGAAATCACGAATTTTTGGAATAGTTTTATAAAGAAAGTATAAAGAAGAAAAAAGTTCATGTCAAACTCCAATACTAGTCAAGCTCATGATTATCTTCCCTATGTTATGTAAATATCTGTCATTTAGAGGCATTTTCAGACAATGCATGTGTTTAGATTTTATATTTTGTATCAGTTTCATTTAAAAATATAAGAGATTCACTGTTCTGCTAAACATGTTCCCAGGCGGTGAGACTTTACTACCAGCTTATCTTCCCCATATTTCCCCAACTATTGGCAAAGCATAGATAATATAACACACTACATTGTCTTATAGTAAACATGTAAATGGTAGTTCAGTTCTATGTGATTGTAACTCGGTATTGGTGGGATGCCAGTTGTATCTATATACTAATAATAATAACACTTTGCTGTATTACTAAAAATGTATTTGTACAATTACAGACATTTGTATTTGTATACAAAAGTCATTACTCAGAACTTGACCACCAAATAAACATGGTCGAATCTAAATAGCTGTCTTGAATGGATTTTCAGAACTACTTCCAAAGTCAACTATTACTAAATTCAACAACAACCAACAAAACCACATGAAACATAATTATATCCTAAAACAACCATTTTTTATCAGTTTAAACAGAGAGCCAAGCTCTCTACACCCCTGGAATATGTCACAGCGAAGTCGAAGGCTCATGGTGCACCACCTTGTGGACGACACAAGAAGACTAGTTCGATCCGTTGATGTTCATCAAAAGAATTCTCGGTCGCGTAACTGTAAAATGGACGGGTTTTGAAGTCGGGTGTCGCTCCTTTGTCACCACTGTAGGTAGGGGATGGTGGAAAAATACACCTGTTGTTACCCACTGCATGTGTTGTAAGAGGCGACTAAACAGGAAGGCAATGGGTTCTGTCCCCAGGCCGGGACATATCAAAGTCCTTAAAATGGTAGTTGTAATTCCATGCTTAACTATCAGTATTGAGGGTAATGGCAACAACTGGTTCACCCGTTTTTAGTAAAGTGTAACCAGGCGGAATGCTGTGCTTGGTGCCTTTGGCATGGTATTTCAGTGAAATAGCACTACAAAGTCGGCATCAGATCCGCGCTATCACAAGGAGGCAATTACACCAACATAGCCCGTTCTCCGGCAAACACACACCATGCACACGCAAGCACACTTACACAACACGCATGGAGGCACATCCTTAAATGACCTTAGCTGTTGATAGGACGTTTAACGTTCAAAAGGACAGGTATCAGCCTAGTACATGCAATTGGTCAGGTTTTTATTTTACCAGATACCAAATAAACCATATTGAATGTAAAACTGTACGCTTTACTTAGACATGACGGTCAGTAGGAATTTATGATATTCTTCACCAGCCCGACAAGTACATAGTGAGGCTACAAGTGTCTGTGTTCTTCACTTTCGATACGGCGATGATCCTTGGGTGAACACGTAGCATTTGGCTTGCACCTTGAAAATGGCTGTGCGCTTCTCTTATCCCACCAAAAAAACGAATCTGTGGGCGTTCCTGGCTTTTCGAAGATATGAAGATAGTTAAGCAATCAACTTTGAAAAAAATGTGATAAAACGTGTAGCCTTACGCTACTTAAGGAAGATACTTTACCCATCCGGGCTATACAACGAGGTGAACATGTGGCTTTACGCTACTTAACAGAATTATCGAGCATGTGTAATCCCCTAAGTACTAATTGTTATATGGACAATAAAGGAACATCTCGATTTGTGAAATTTAATTAAATCGCCCATCCTACGTATTCATCACAATAGCCAGCCTTTCGGTTCCCTCGGGCCTCAACACTTAGGTTGCCTAACCTATCGACGCCATTGGTTGCGTCCACTAATTAGACTCGCCATATAGGCAGAGGTAGTTCATTTACTAGCTATCTGTCGACGAGATCGTACTCGGGCCAAGTAGGGAAACGAAGTTTTAATTTTAGTTTAGGTTTTTTTCTTCAAAAATCTAACCAAAAGAGGTAGAGAAAGGATACACAGTCTAGTTATCAGCAACAATATTTATTAACTATTACCAAGGAAACATCAAAGAGTGATCTTGTATTCTTGAAACATTGATATGTATGGATGTGTCCGTTTGTCCATTTGTGTTGTCTTCCTATCTTGCGTATACAGTATTGACATTAATTACCCGCGCGAGACTGAATTACAAACGGAAGCTCAACAGTTATGGGGTAACCCATCAAAATACATACCAAAGCTGTGGGCGGACTTCAGACGGACGCCCGACCGGTCGTCCGTCCATGAACGTGATATCTTATTTCCGAAACCTGTGAGTATAATACATTTGTAAAACTTACTGTTGTTTAAGTATAGTATTGTGTAGATTGATGTCGTCCATGTGTATTTCGTATTCGAGTACAATTAGGTTACTCTAAAACAACGATAATAAGTTTACCAGAACTATTATATAATTCCAGATCGTTTTATAATTATTATATTTCAAAACAGGTTATGTTTTAAATGGTGAAATGGAGGAATAGAAAAGAAACGCAATGCTGACGTCTCGGAGAGGGGAAATCTTATAGCTTTAGGGAGAGGCAATGATGAAGACTCGAAGAGTTAACGATATAGACAACGCATTGTCATTGAGAAGGGGGCGGGGGGGAGGGGGGGGGCATTATTTTGTCTCATTGAGGCGGGCTATCATACATTCACAAGTCTCAGAATTTCATTTTCACTTGAAGAATTCCTTTACACTGTATATTTTCTCTTATACATACCATAGCGCGTCGTTTCCGTTTCACACACGTTTGTTCACGTCCAAGCTGTTTACATAGTGTTTTTTTTTTAAATATGCTGGTTTTGCTGAATAGAAATTTAGAAAAAAAAACACCGGAGGTAATTTACGATTTGTAAATATGTGTTGTCCTATGCAGGTCTAAATCAAGCCAAATTGTAAATATCCAGACTGAACTCACGTATGTTGAGTGTATATTGCTATGTATTTGGTGTCTGTGAAATATATGACATCTTTAAGTCTGAACACACTAAGCTCTAGTCTGATACCTCTAATGACATAACATCCAGACTCAGCACTGTTTAGTTAGGGTGGTATGTATTTTCTTCGGACAACTATTTCTGTGTTTAATGTTGTAAAAATATTTGAATTTGGTTCCGTGTTTAACGTTGTTAATAACTCCTATGAGCTGTAGTTTGTCGTATTGAATAATGGAATTATTTCCTATTATTATTTATTTCCTAATTAATATTGTTTGTTTTCACGAGACTTTCTGTTAAGTGTTAATTTCATGTACTTTCATGAGGAACCAATACTTTCCGCCTTGAATGTAGTAAATTACTTTCATTTCTGTGTAAAGGTGGGCTCAACATTTGGCCCCCACTTCGATTTCCTTTATTCTTTTGCCATATGTAGATACATAAAAATGATCAACAACTGCATAAATGATTATTCATAATTGTTACTGATAACCGTAGTGGACCTCCTTGCATAACACCAGGTTGAGTGACGGGGGTATCCTAACAAAATGACCGATAAATATCACAGGCAAATGTTAATTTGGAAATGAATTATGATAGTGTATAGTGTATGAAATTACTGTTATTTTAATACTAAATATGTCATATTGATAGACATGAAGTAAGCGTAGTGATACTTTTAATTGGAAAAACATGCAAAATTTTCACAAAATTTAAAATAAAACTAACATTGTCAACTTGCCTATATATAGTTACAATGGTAGTCTATATTTTAAACTTCTTTAAAAACTACACATATATGTATTCTGTCTACAGAATAATTTTTATGTAATATCAAAACCGGTAATGTACTTTTTTAGTATGCCAAACATGATCAATGCCCAATTTCACATAACCTTGAAGATTTGACTATCAATGTTTATTATTAAAATACCTATACATTTTCTGTTTTTGTATCATACTAAAACACTTTCTTATGTTGGGCATGTTTTCAAGTTATGTGCAGCAGTAATAACTCATGAATAGGTATTCTGTCATCGTAATCTTTCCTCTGGAGAACTACTTTAGGTTTGAGATTGTGTTATAGACAAAGCTATGCAATTATCTAAAAATAAATAAAATAATCTTAAAAACAAAACTATTATACACTTTATTATACTCCCGCAACGAAGTTAGGGGTGGGGGTGGGGGTTGAGGGGGTGGGGGTATACTGGAATCAGCTTGTCTATACGTCTATCTGTCAACTCATTCTAAAGTAGTGGACCAATTTCAACGAAAGTTTCTTTCCAGATATGATAACTGACACCTCAAGTTGTGCATCCATGTATTATTTTTTCATTCTGACCTTTTTTTCCCTTAAAGTTATGGCCTTGTGTTGAAAAACCCTTGTCCGGCTATGTCCTCCGAAACTAAGGGGTCAATTTCAACGAAAGTTTCCAGATATGATAACAACAATCTGATGGTTTGCATCCAGTAATTCTTTTTTCAATCTGACCATTTTTTTACGGAGTAATGACCCTTGAAAAAGACTTGTCCAGACAACTCCTCCAAAACTATGGGGCCAATTTCAACGGAGGTCTACAGGTATGGTAACTGCCCCCTGACATTGTGCATCGAAGAAGTATGTTTTCATTCCAACCCTTTAAAAAGGAGTTATGCCCTTTTCTTAAAAAAACTTTGTCTGCCTCTTAAACTTCTGGGCCAATTTCATGAAAGCTTACAGATATGGTAATTACCCCCTGATCATTTCGACCCTTTTAAGAAGTTATGGCCTTTTGTTAAAATTCTTTGTCTTGATAACTCTTCCTTAACTACTAGAACGATTCCAGCAAAAGTGGGTCATCTAGGATAACAAGATGTGGTATGAAAGTATGTTTTGGCATAGGGAGGGAGTACAAGAAGTATGTCAGTGACAGATATACATACATAATTACTGGTGGGAGGCTATGGATTAATTTGCAATGCTTTGCCTTAGTTAGCCTTTAGATTACAGTTCTGGTTTATATATGAGCGGAGGTTTTAGTTAATCTTTGGCTTACAGTTCTAGTTATTATTTTTTGTAGCCTTTTGACCATTCATTAAACAAAATATGACGGGATATTACACTATTTTATATCGTTAACTCTAAACAAATAAAGCAAGGAAAAATACCCTTGTCTAACTCCCCATACAAATTTTTTATTTCGGCACATTTGTTTTTTGTGACCTTGGAAAAAAGGTCAAGGTCATCAAAATTAACAACACTTAAACTCATTTACATGAATAACCTTCTAACCAAATATCAACACCCAATGACCTTTAGTCATGAAGAAACACAGGTTAAAGGAAATGTGGAAAGAAAGCTATGTTGTTGTTTTTTTGAACCAAAAGTAGTATACGACAAATTTACCGGTTTTCATTTTTTTGGAAATTCCTGATGATGAAAGATATTATTGGTAGCCAACTTTTTAACAAGTAAGAAAAATAGACTAGTTTTAGAACTAAGTGAATTAACGTGTCAAAAATGGAAAATTTCTCATAAGAAATAAAATTTCACACATTTTTCTGCTTAATTCTTAAATAAATAGAACAATTATTTATTGAAATAGTGTAATATTCGGTATCAAAATAACAGTTGAAATACGTTGCACACGATGATTATATAATTTTATGGTAATTGTGCCATTTAAATGCTCTAGGAGGAATTGTATTACTGCACCTTTAACACCCACACAGGTGTAAGTCAAGGAGGTCCCATTTATCATCAAATGCATTCAGAAACTAACTTTTCATGATTGAAGCTTCTAATGCCCATACCTTTTTGGATTTATCTTTTTTCGAAATTCCAAGTGGGGGCCGACGCTAATGTTAAATCTCCATAGGCGTTGACCCTACCTTACTTTCATTTCTGTGTTAAATATTGTTAATTACTTCTATTGATTGTTTATTTCTTGTTTAATGTTTTGTTAATTGAACGACGTATATACATATATATCTGTTTGTCGTTGTAAATTACTTTCATTTTCTTTATACTTCCGTGTTAAATGTTGTCAATTATTTCTATGCGATATATTTCTATATCAAATGTTGATAATTATTCTTATTTATCGTATATTCTTGTTAAATTTTATTACTGATTATACTACTTATCTATTTCTTAATTAAACGTTGTTAAATTACTAAATGGGGAATATCTTTACGTTTTTAATGTTGTAGATTACTCTTTGTTATTTCCCTGTTAATTACTGCCATGAGGCGTCTACTCGTCTTTAATGTCAATTATTTGCACGAGTTTTTTTTTATTTTCACATTTATTTGCAAGAGATATTGAAAGTGCATATTGTTTCAATATCTTTTTCACGCGTTTTAACCACAGAGCATGTATCGACTGGTGTTTCCATTTGCAGGTTCAAGTTCTCGCTATAACGTCGTTTCTAGCAGCTCGGCAATAAAAGTTTTCAATTGAAGTAATTTGTTTTAATAAAATACGAGATTGCCCGAAAGGTTTACCTTTCGGCCAACCTTAGGGTTTGAGATAACGATCTAGTAGGATAAAAGTACCTGGAATACGAACCCAAAATTAATCACAGTTGTGCCTCTTTTTTCCTTTTTTTTCCTTTTTAAAGAAGATAGGCAAACCTCATCTTTGAACTGTATTATTTTGTTCTGTAGAAGTGAATGCCTTTTTGGTAAGTACATGATGAAGACCGGCTAGTCCGAAATAACTATTTATCTCCTTTTCAGATATTTTTCAGTTCAGAAATAGAACTATAGAGATATATTTAGATTCAAGCGTTATCACAAAACGAAACAGGTCATCAAATCATCTTGTCGAACTGTTCATTTCGGTTTATTATATGTATCTAACACGAGTATGAAGCGTTGTTAATTGGGAACCTATCGACACCACCAACTTAAACTGACACTATTGCCTTATGAACATTGAACGTTGACTAATCAACGCTGTTTACGTGTGAAACTCTGTGTTACGTGAACGTTAAGCGGCCCATCATAGGCATTTTTGCTAAGGTTTTAAGATAATTTGAATACTCTAAAATCTGGAAAATAAGCCGCCGGTTATTTTCGTATTAGAGAGGAATCCCATGCTCATTTTTGAAGACGTCCTATATTGAAAGGTATCTTATCGTATTTTCGGAGCCAATTTGACTGTAAAGGTTATTAAAATCGCCAGCATTATTGTTAAAAATATTAAAAATCAGTTATTTACCCTCTTTCAACGGACTGAACTTTGTTTGAAGCAACATGTAAAAACGTACCTCCATTTGTTGCCAGCAAGTTGGTTACTTATGACTGTTCGTTTAATCAATTATTTTCAACACACAACGGAACGAAACCATCTGTATCACTTGACCATCTTGTGATAGACACGTAAATATATCAAAGGGTAATTGTTTAATCTAAGTTGTCAAGGATAGCATTTCGTATTATAAATATATATATAAGATAATACGACATATATGTAGGCGCTAAAAATAGAATCGAAGTGAATTACAAACGTCAAAAATGTCACGTAATGACAGCCTACGGATCATGATGAAATACAAAGGTCTTATATTTTACACAATGGAAATGAGACCTATAGTATCCCCTCTCGGGATTGTCTGTATCCCTAATTTCACACCGAATCTAATACTACATTACAAAGTTACAAGTGTAAGAGAGTTAACAAGTGCAGACAAACGCCCACAACATTTTCTTTGCTCGTAAAGCCACCATTTCAGCGTAAGACGATGTCGGTGACGAACGAAAATCTTGCACGCAAGATATTATTGTCTGTTCGTATAAAATGTATACGGTTGTCGTGTTTTTCTCAGCGGTTAGGAATTCGATTACCTCCTTGAGCCAGCGTCAGATAGGTCAACAGACAAAATACAACACGATATCACTAGTACTCAGACTTTATTTTCCTTCTAATGATTTTGCAAAGTGCTCAGGGAAGGTACAATGACAGGTCGAGGAGTTAGCACATATTCTGCTGCTGTCGGAAGTATATATGAAGGTGGGTTGATCAGGTCAAGGGGATAGACAGCACGTTAAGGTATACAAGTTATAAACTTTTGTCTTCTTTACAACAGTTATGAAATCAATTTGTCCAACGACCACTCTTGTAAACCTAGATGAGCTGCTAGTTGCCAGCCGTTGTCAGACCATGTTCAGAAACAAAAGCTTTTCAGATTTGAAATGAACATTTACGTCTATGACCGCTGATGTCATCTTAAAAAGACCATTCCTTGACGGGCACACGACAGTGATTACATGACGATTTTCAAAAATCATACCTCTTATCCGTGCACACAACACCCCAAAGTCTTGTAAATGTTTTTTAAAAACATGTTGTTATTTTTTCATTTATAAATCTCCATAATTGGTCTATGGGTCCGCTGCCATGTGCTGGATATAGGTAGGCAACTGTTACAATACTAATTCCATTCCCACCAACATTAAAACTCTGCCGTTATATTTTTCGAACGTGTTTTTTTCCCTTTGTGTATCTTCCTGACTCAGTCCCTGAAGTAATGACATGAAAATCAAGTTTATGGTTGAACTACCAAAGAGGACGTTGGCCATGAATAGAACGATTCGCATGGCAAAGTTAAAGTAACCCCTGGAATTTCATAGAGGGATTCAACCGTCCTGTTTGGTATTTCATAAATGACTTTTATTCTCAAGTCCTTACTTACCCTTGGAATTTCAAGAATGAGTGGAAACCAGCCACTTTCTTCCGCAGTGACAATGATTAGACTACACCACGGCTCAGTTATTACATATGCAAGATACTTTCGTGTATAAAACGGGTCAATATATCCCCCGAAACTCTGGTTGAAATATGGGACAACTGTGTCTGTACTTAACTATATCGTTAATTGTGACGACAGGAATAAGATGGAAATTCAATGAACTTTCTTGATCAATTGTCTATTATGTGGTGTCCAGATGTTCTGGCGTGGACGTAATATTGGCCAAGTGGACTAGTATTACCCCAGCCACGAGAGTAAACAATGGTCAGCAGACGGGTGATGTCCGGCTCTATCCTCTCAGGACACATACCTCTTACGTCATAGTATTATGTGTACATATTTGTATTCTTAATGCCAATACAAGGTTCTTATTGATATATATATATTTATCAGAAATCAAGTAAATCAATTGATGAAGAATGCTCGCACGAGGCATATTACTATAGTAAGGATATACAAGAAGCTAACTTCCGTTCATGCGCAGTTAACTGCCTTTCATAGGTTGGACTTTGTCGACATATATTCAATTAAGCTTGCTGCGGCCATGTAATTTTCAACTTGAATTGTATTATTTTAAAAACTGTCTAAAACTAGAAAACTAGAAATTTAAGGACTCGGCCAATCCTTGTTCCAACAGTCTTGATCAAGGACTCGGCCAATTTATAAGCCGGGTCGTATTGTATCCCAACAGTCTTGATTTTGGACTCGGCCAATTTGTAAGCGGGGTCGTGCGTGATGTATTCATTCTTGGTTTACAGTTGACAAGCTGGTTACACTTCCCAGACACCAGGCCTGGCAGTGTGGATGACGGTCAAAGATATTTCGATACCACCATGGAGACGGATATAGGTTCTGGTAAACAGGATGTTCGTATTAACGACCCTGACGAGGGGATCAGTCCCGGTATAGCTGACGACGTGGTAGACAGATTGGGTATCAAAGAACCACATCTTGACCACTCCAGTGACCGTCACAAGAACGCCAACACAGAAATTAACTCCTTAGGCGTGTCACAGAGAGATATTAACATTGCCCTTGACAGTTGGCATGTTAACGAACCGGAAACAGAATTGTCTAACTTCGCACGACCAGCCCTTTTGAAGCGCGGATATAATGACATATCTCCACAGTATGACGGGAGTACTAGTATGCGCTTCCGGTCTTGGGGAAGAGATGCTGAATTTAGGTTAAACCGTTTCCGTCCAAGTTCATCGAGACGACGACTACGACGGGTACGTGTAACCCTCCTTCTCTGTTTTTTATAAGCATATGTCCCTCTCACCGCCTCATCCCTTTTTTTGCAGTATCTTACTTACTTGTTTTCTTCATCATTTTTGTCAACATATCCCCTCCTCATCTCCGTTTTGTCGCCCTCTCTCAACAGAATGCCCCTTTCTTTCAAGTTTTTCCACGTTACACATCCTCACAGACACTCAAATCTCCCTTCTTCTTCACACATAGTTATAGTTAATAGTAGTGTATAGCTGTAATGGTTTTGTAGTTATTGGTTGGGTAGTTGCCTTTTGTTTGTAGTTGATGCTGACTTCGGTTTCTGAAGCTTAATATTACCCTTACATTTTAAGTTGACGGAAGTTTAATGATGACGTCATTGTGTAATTGTAGCAGTTTATCTGGGATAACAGCAAGGGACATGCATCATATCTCAAATCAGACACCATTATTCTGACGATTTGTTTTAAAGTTCTATACAGAAAGATGTGTGTCTCTGATCATTTTAATTCCGTATTATATAGTTTTGGTCTGGGGACATTTTAATTACCATGCTTAAGCTATAACACTTTTCTGTAATTGGACTTATATTGTCCCATGTAAAAGTACTTAAGGGACCTTGAACTATTTCATGTCATATAAATTCAGTGATCGAAACAAAATCTGGTTAACAAAATTCTTAAGTCATTTTCCATGTTTCTGGGTGTACATTCTTAGAATTCCCTTCGTGTTAAATGTATTATAGGATAGCCAAATTCAATCATCGAATTCTATTTTCCTCAGCCAACAGTTTCCGTCACAGTGGACGGAACAACCTTAGACCCGGATGTACACTTTACACAGAATATCACACCAGAACCGGATATGTCTGTGTTCAGGGCTCTTATGTCAGCAGCTTTAACATTTAGACGACATCGCGCAGGCGCAGAAAATCCGTTCAATGTCATGTTGGACTGGGATTATGAGAACGAATGTGAAGCTATTGTTGATATTTTTGGGATGTCGAACTCTGATGATCATTTGTGGAGGATACACGTTCGTAGACGTCGTGGTCAGGTAATATGATGTCACCTATTTTGTGGTCAGGAAATATGACAGCTCATATAAATATTAAATTTCAAAGGAGTCCGTATTTCATTTTAAAATGAAAAGATAGTTAAAGAATCTAACGAGTACAGGCTTTTAGCATGGCCTAGATTTTGAACTGATTGAATTAAATTTTAAATTGTTGATAATGTAAGGAATACTTACCTGACTTGTTCATTAAAAAGTAGAACTATCTCACATTATATATTTTTTTCCAAACAGAACAGGATTCGGGTGTGTTTGCTACAGTTTTGGAAAGTTTGGTCACAAGGACCTGATAATTGGTTACAGCTACATTTGTATAGTTGGTCTTAAACAAAGTTGTTCAGAGAAATTTTCGAAGGTTTATCTAAACCCTTAAAACGTATAAAATTCCTCTGAACACCTTATTTTAGATACAAATATAGCTGTAACCAGTTAGCAGGTCCCTAAGGGTTTGGTTGACTTTCCTGTTGATACAGACATGGTTAGCGCCATCTAATACAACTCGTCTTACAATTACAGGTTGTGTACCGTGGAGTGTGTTTTCCACCAGAACGAGTTTTAGTCCGCCCGGGTACTCGGGTCATCATCCAGTACAGTTGACAGGCTTAACGCGGGAACTTCTAAACTACACTTTTATTATATATTTTAACATCACATATCATAAAAGGTTAAATTGTAAAGATCGTATAACGGGCGCGTATCATACATTCTGTATGATTTAGTTTGTTTTCTCAACTATTCTTCATTGTATGCTGTTTTGATATAAAATTTAAATAATAAATTTTGATTTCTTCTTTTCTGAATGAAGTATGGAAAAAAGACTGTTGATTTATAAATAATCAAATTTCCCAAATAGTAACCGACACTTTTGGTAGGCATATAGAGTTGTCTTATATAGATAAATAAAATATATTATTCCTTTTAGAGGTGACATACGGGGACTCAAACAGAGGGGGAGAATCGTAGGTTGAGATCTCCTAACGAGTTGTACGATTCTGTTACCCTTACCGTGTTGAGTCTGTCGTGATGATCTCCTGGCAACGCATGGTGAGACTAACACAAACTTTCATCCCCCTCGAATGAGATCAATACAATCGTCCACCCATTGGAAGAGATTCCCCTATCTCAAATACAAATGGTTATTTCATGAAATGCAAATTCCCAGCCAATCAGAGTTATCTCCAGTGATCTTTTGGTGTTGACGCGAGGTAAATGTATTGTTCACATGATGTCATACAATTGTTATGACAGGAGAATTCCCCTGTTATGTGGATAGAAAAATCTCAACTGATTTTCTGCTTTTCACAACCCCGGTCGCCTTGGTGAAAGGCAAACTTGTGTGCTATCCACTGCGCCATCCGACCACGCAGGACAAATACACTCTTTATTAACAAATGTACCCCAATATGCAATACGAAAATCAGAGTCCCCAAGCGAACAAACAAACAATTAAGACCCCTTATATATATTTATAAAGGATAAGGAAAAACCCAGAACGGAACAAATTATAAAAAGAGACGCAGTTTTATATATGTATGAATTACTTTGACGAAAACGAGCAAAAATATACCAGTTGCAACCAAAATGCGTTCTTATTTCCGAAAAAGCATTGATCAAGAACGGGACACAATATATATAATATACATATGCAAGGCCACACACTTGTGTTTTTATTGGGCGGACGAATATATTCACGAGTGCTCGGAGCGCAACGAGTGAATATATACGTCCGCGCAATAAATGAGTGCTTTCTGATTCGTTAGAAAAACACAAGTGTGTGGTCTTGCTTTTATCACACACCTTCCGTATTTAGTAGAGATCGATACAAAGATTTTATAAACTTTGATATTTTTTGCAAATATCGGGAACTTTTCAGTTCGCCATGCGGATAAGGGGATACCCATATAATGTTGTTCCGGCTAGTAGGTAAATACAATATTCCGTATTGCACATGTGCAATACAGAACGTTGTATTACAATAACAAGATTCAACAGGTATGTGCTAAAATATGATACATTAGACAAAACAAGGTGGAACTGATGTAATAAATCTGCCTAGAGGCGGAATCCTTCTGCTGAAATAAGTTGCACTATTGCTGTAATGATTGATTTAGATTGCTATCTTCGATTTTTTTTATTATAAGTTTGGGACATGTTTGGCCTACGAGACACAACCGTTATTAATTTGACGGGAATTTGACGTTGCATCCTTTATAACGTCACAATCACTTACCTCAAACTACCTGTCCGGACTTGCCTTCTTCATACAAAAATAAATAAAAATCTTGAAATACAGACGTGTTTTCCCTTTTACTAATATTTTATGAAAGACGTTGACTTTCTCTTGCAAATGGTCACAGATGTATAACGTTATAGCCAGTATACAGTGGCGGATCGCCCCCCCCCCGCCCNCCCCCGGGAATTTTCTTTAATAATCATGTATTTTCACCATTTTCCTCAATTATCACCACGGACTTTGCGTTATGGCAATAGAATATGTTTAAATTAAAAATAGTGTAATTCCGTGATATTACGTATTCGAAAGATTGTGAATAAAAATGAAAAATTCAATTAATATTGGGAGAGTTGTCTCCCTTGGACCATTGACTGCGCGATAACGCCTGAAATTCTGTCAAAAATTAATATTAATAGCACGGAATTAGCTATCTAAGGCCGTGGTAATTGTAATACAAAAACAAATTCTTAAGCATTTTATATTTTTTTGTGTTACTGTTATTATTAATATTTGACGGAATTCACTTTACGGAAAGTGCCGACATTCATCGAATGTAAAAATCCCATGATTCAATATTACGAGTCATATTATATCGTCGTTTCTCGGAATCCGGTACAGTTAGGCCAATGTGCATTTGGTTGCAGAAGTAGAAAGCTGACAAATACGATTCTGGTAAAGCCTAGTTATTGATATTAATATAACACTGCATTTAACATGATTTTAAACTGAACGAGACATATCAATCGAAACCTACAGTAACAAAAGCGAAAGTGAAAGTACAATGTACTGTACGATATTCCTGGTAATATCTGTCTGGTCACGCGTCAGGATCATAGGATGTTTGAGCGCAACAATGTCACTTATTAGAATACGTATCTGCACGAGATAAACGCTCATACAGGTATGTCATATATATATAAGTTGACGTCTGAAGAAGTCCTGTACAGACTTAGACTAAATTATACCGATAAAGATATATGTTAGATCACCAACCAGGTCATGGCAGACGGAGTGTCATTCAAAACATGGATGGAAAAAACCGTATGTAGCGATTTTTTACAAAGTGATCTGTTACTTTCACTATAAATTCATTGATGATGCATAATTTATCTGTACAATAAACAATGTATGTTGATCCATTTCTAAATTTGAGATTGATCCTTATATATTTCAGAGTGATCCTTATTTGACATTTCATTTTGTTAACTAGGTATGTATATATTCAATACACCGATCTGATCATATACATATTGATTTAGTAATGTCGGATTTTGTATACTCAACAAAACAGTATTACATTCGTATGAGAAGAAATTACATTTAAAAAAAGTCATTAAAAAATTAAAACTGAAGATGCTATATATATGTTTTGCAAGATGAATAATTTGACGATTCTGTGACAGCCCGTCAACTCATCCCCGGTCTTCTTTTAATTCGTTTTTCATTTCCTTAATATTTCTCTTTTCTCTTTCATATACATGATATCATCAAATTATTTCTTACCTGGAATAAAATAAAATAAACTGGAGCAATCTTTGGTTTCTGATGACCGAAGATTTACAAGAATTAAGGCCTGCTTTGTTTTCAGTTTCAGTTTCATTTTCCTAATATTATAAGTTAGTTAACATGTTGCTGTCTGAAACACACTTCAAATAAGTCCTGTAGTTGTATTGTTTGCTTCGTCCAATCTTGCCTTTTCATCTAGACTATTGTTTATGCTGTTCTGGCCCACATTGTCAGGCAGATGATGTAGTACCCCATACGTTTTCCTTTTTCAATTCAGGAATCAAAGCCTGGTTGTTTTGCTGAAAAACGAGTGTATCTACCATCCTATCTTTGTAGAAATTGTGTTCAGGAAGAAAAATGCAGAAAGAAACTTAACTTTCATGATATTAATGGAATACTCTTTTTTTAGGTTGGTTGTTTTAAATTTGTTCTTCACAGTGATAGACATCTTCATGTGTTTGTTAAATAATCGATAGAGAAAGATGATACGGCAAATAGTCAGATTTATTATGATAATTTTCAAAAAATATTTTTGGGCTTCAGGAACCCCCCCACCCTGAGAATTTTCTTTAATAATCATGTATTTTCACCATTTTCCTCGATTTTCCCCCACATGGAAACCCCCCTGGAAATTTGGGAAAAGGATAGACCTGTTGTATCCCACAACATGTCATAAATTAATGTGGGCTGGGGCCTCCTGCAAAATCGAGGGCTTTCTTACATGACCACAGTTAATCTGCTGCCTCCATTGGAATATTTGGGAGCTTTATATTTTCTCTCTTCTTTCTGAAAACCTTTTTGTTTCCTAGTCCCTTGCTTGGTAATACCTCACTTTTGGTCTTAGTGTTGAGCGTTCGTCAAGGTGGGGTACGCCATGGGTTCTGTTCCTAGGCCGGGACACACTGAATTCCTTAAACATGTTAACTATTATTCCTTGCTTAATGTTCAGCATTTAGGGTTATCGCAACAACTGGTTTATCTATTGTCAGTATCAAGTGACCAGGTAGAATACTGTACTGGGCACCTTCGGCATGGTATTTCAGTAAGGTAGCATTCCAAATTTGGCATCTGATCTTTGCTATTGCAAGGAGGCATATACACCAACGCACCCTGCCTCTAACACACATATACCTGTCACAAGCAAGTGTATACATATATTACACAAATGGAAGCACGTCCTTCAAAGACCCTAGCTGTCAATAAGCTTTAACAAAATCAATACCAAACAAAACCAAATCTCAAATAGATCTACAAATTGTGTTTATATAATATTCCTTTGATGTTGAATAGTGCCACAAAAAGGAATATATATACCAGATCTCTAGCTTTTAATTGGGTCCACAAAGATGTGTTCAAGAAAATGTGACCATGATATCATATCACTTAGATCTCGAATAAGCCCACAATATAGTGTTAATGTCATATCCCTTGGATGTCAAAAAGAGCAACAATAATGTTTATGTTAAAATGCATCATTTCATATGATATCAATTTGACATCAAATACAACCACAAAATGATAGTATGTTGTGACATCTGGACCTCAGATAGAGCTAAAAAATGGTCTAATACATCGTATCCTTGTACTTCAAATTCTAATAGACTAAAACAGGGATTTACATTATATCCCTTTGACTTTAAATAAATGTAGGGCTACAAAAAAATGTGTTAATTTCATATTTATTGGTCCTCTAAAATATATAATAAGGCCTTATGAAGGTGTCCATGTCATATCACTTGTACCTC